TCCATTAACATGGACAAAAATACTCCCAAGATAATTTTTGTGAAAGTTGATCAATGACATATCCTACCAAATCTCATTTTTTCTCTAACGCATCCCACCCCCTCCCTCCCTCTCTCCACTCATCTTTTTTGTCTGCAAAATCTGAGATTTAACATATTAAGATAGGTTGTACATAATCAAAAATTGAGACTAATTACATCTCTTACGCTATCTACTTTTAAAATATTATCACAACTTTAAGCAATTTCATTTATGATAGGTTCAAAAATTTTAAATGGTTTTCACCACTGTTACAAAGAAGCAAGCAATTTAATTTGATGTTCGATCAAAATATCTTCTCACATGATATTCAAACGATAACTAATCAACCTCCATAGAATTTTACTTGATAATATTTTTTGTGCATATCAGCAAAAAAATTGTTAACTTCTATTTAGATGTTAGTTAAATGGTCAACATTTAAGAGATTTAATAGATTGGTTACTTGCACACTAACTTTGATAACGTTATGAATATTTTTGCCCTTTTTCTCACTTTAGACTACTGGATGCTCTGGTCGATAATTTCATGAGCATTTTTGCCCCTTTTTTGGTTCACATTAACAAAGACACATGGCAAGTACATTCAACATTCAATGTCGGAAACTGACGGTGTTAGAGCAAAGTTAACAGTTTGATCACTTTTGTACTAGCTCTAATAATATTATAGGTATTTTTATCTTTTTTTTTTTTACTTTAGTCTACTAATCAATAGATGCTTCTGACCAATTACTTGATAGGTATTTTTACACCCTCAACCCTTATTCTAACACCACTACAGGCTTGTGTTGTTTTGAACTTGTGTGTGCCAAAAATTGATTAGCCAAAATTATGCGACTCTAGGCCGAGACAGTTGATGGGCTTATGGAACGCTTGGAATGTGTCTTTTCGTTCCGATCATCCTACGTCTTTTTGTTTTTTGTTTTTTTTGTTTTGTCAAAGATAATCCCATATCTTGCAACTAATAAAGGAACTAATGAGCTTCTAACCCCCAACGGAGATTGGACTCAACTTCTCTCTTCCCATACTCCCTCCCTCTCATCTTCACACTATTTAGATTTAATCCAAACAATCTAAATTAAATATTTTAATTTTAATTTTATTATAATAAAAATTATAAATTTTTTTATTAAATCTAATCATTAATCTGGTTCATCTAAATTTAACGTGGGTGGTATAAATTTATTGTAAAATATTTTAATTTTAATTTTATTTTAATAAAATTAAAATTAAAAAGAGAAACGAAAAATGAAAAATAGAAATAAAAAATGTTAACAAAAAAATTTATATCAATCAATGATTAGTTATCATCAAAACTCAAATAAAAAATATGCTTAAATAGACCATCGATAATTTAGAATGAGTTGTTGTTGATAAAAGATTAACTCGAATCAACAAATATTTATTCGAGTTTTGATAACAAATAATTTTTGATTGATATAAATTTTTTCTAGTAATCTTTAATTAATATCTTTCCTTTATCTGTGACAGCATGGGACACACAAAATGGACATAAAACATCTAGTCAAGGACCTCCTAATTCTAGTGCAAACAATCATGCTGTATTAGATTCATGACTTGGGAGAAACCCAGGACATTGATAAAAATGAAATTCATAAATATTGAAAGGAGTTATTATCTACATTATTTCAGTTTCTCGCTCAATAAAACTAATCATTTGTTATGCTAAAATTGTATACTTTTAAAATTGAACAGTTATTAATATTGTCTTGCCTATATCCATTTAGATATTATGTAAAAATATTAAATCACTATTGTACAAAATTTGATCTGATTTAATTGTAGAGATTGATAATTATGGGGAAGTTGAATTTAATTGTAGAGATTGATAATTATGGGAAAGTTGAGGAAAAAAGCAAATCTAGAAAAGTTAACTCCCTTTATGTAAATTGAAAATCAATTGAGAGAAGTCAACTCTTGTTATGTACTTCCTTCAATCTTATTTATAAGATATATTTTAAAAGATTTATTTGATCTTATTTTTAAGCTACGGTACAGTTTTTTAAATAATGTTTAAAAAGTATTTTAAAAATTATCCTTCATGAGTAAGTAAAAGGTAACATGATATTATTTTTTAAATTTATTATATATGGGTATGTTCGAAATTCTACACACTTTTATTACTTTTTTATTTTATTGCATTGATATTGATGAAATTGATAAAAATGACTTATAAAAAAATTTAAAAAATAAATTAGAACTCAACTTTTTTTTATTTTTTTATTTCAGTCTTTGATGTTTTAAAAAATGTAAGAGCATTATCCTCTTCCATTTAGGGGTGAAAATGTGTTAGGCCAAACTAAACTTTAATTAAATAAGTTTGAGTCTGTGCGATAAATTATAAATTTGAGCTTGGCTTAAAACTTGTGTAAGTCTTTTTTCATAGCTCAAGTCTAAACCTATCTAAAGTTTGGCCTGACCTAACAGCTTATTTAAAAGCTTACTTAAAAATAAGCCTTTTAGATAAGTTTTCATTTTAGTTTTAAACGTCTCAAATATATTTTAGAACTATTATAATATACAATATATAACTTAATTTATTAATTAGAATATATAATAATTAAAAGGGCTTATAAAGTACAATAGAATATAACAATAAAATAATAATATTAAGATTAATATATAAATCTAATACAATTCAAAATATAACAAGAAATAAAAAAAGAATAGATTGATTAAAAATTAAATGGTGAAACTGATATGTTTGTGATATATTACATAATATATAGGCTACAATGAATAAAACCTCCTGAATTTTAAGATAGTTGTATATAACCCCACTCACTTTTAAAAGTTTAGAATTAACTCGCCAACCTTTAATTTTATTTTTGAAAACCTCTTATTGTTAATTATGTTATTTTTTCATAAGGATTAAAATGTCATTCAACTAAAAAATATTATTAAATAAAAATATTATATTGTATAACTATATATAATAATTTTTTTATATTTTTGGATAGTTTAGGCATTGATAACACATATAAAATGTTATTATTATTGAATAAAATTTTAAATATTTATGTTTATATTAATTTTATCCATATTTTTTATGATCAATGGTGCATGATGTTATTGTTTTAAAAGATAAATTTTTATTTATTTTTCATGTTAGATTAATGTAATGTACATGACTAAAATACCTTAAATTTTAAATATTACTGTTTTAGATAAATTTTAAAATTTATCTAATATTTAAAATTTAAAATTTAAATATTTTAGTCATGTGTATTACATTAATCTAAGTTGAAAAATAAATAAAAATTTATCTTTTAAAACAATAAAATCATGCACCATTAATAACAAAAAAGGATAAAACTAATATAAATATTTAAAATTTTATGCAATGATAAATAATTTTTTATTATTATCAATGCTTTAACTATTCAAAAAATATAAAAAATTATTATGAATAGTTATACAATATAATATTTTTGTTCAATGAGATTTTTTAGTTGAATGACATTTTAACCCTTATGAAAAAATAACATAATTAATAATAGGGAGTTTTGAAAAATAAAATTAAAGATTAATGGGGTTAATTTTAAACTTTTAAAAGTAAGGGAGGTTATATGCAACTGTCACAAAATTTAGAAGAATTTTATATATTTTTGCCTAATATATATAGGCTGATCTGTTGAGCTCATACACTAAATCTTAAAAAAATAGACATGGTCTATTGAATTAAATAGGTTTAATTAAAAGTTTAAATTTAATTTGAATTTATTTAGTAAGTCAGGTTAAGTCTAAAATGGGTCAGACTGTAGGCCCTGTTATAGGTTTGACTTATTCCCACCCTTACTTTCATTTAAATTAATCCAAATTTTCACTGTATAAATCATTAAATTATCATTATCGATGGCTGCTTTACTGGCATTTCAGGAAAAATTCTCCGAAATATCCGCGAAGCTGCCTTTGGAAACTAGCTTCCTTTATGCGTGTGTTCTCGATGCCACTTATTGACCAATTTCACGCGGTTTTATTGCTCGCTTTCTTCCACGCGGTTGATGGGTACATGTTTGGTTTGCACTTTTAGATTTCAAAAGTCCTTGTATTCATCTTTTGCTAGAATGTTATATTTAGATTTTACAAGTTGATTTTTCAAACCCAAAAAAAAAAAAATCATCTTCCAAAGGCTCATTTGAGAAAGTGATATGAGTTTTCTTATTTACTTTTGGCTTTTAAAATTTTCAATTTGAAAGTATATTCAGAATCTTTAGACTATAATATACAATTACATGAAATTATGAAAATCAAATTAAAATTTTATATTTATACATGGTGAAAAAACATTTATATTTATATACTTATACTCATTTAATATTATATACAAATATTTATATTATATAGAAATATTTTAAGGCTAAAATATATCTTTAATCTTTTAATATTTTATGCAAGTTTTTATTGTAATATCTTAATTTTATAAAATATCTTTTTGGTCATATAATCTCAACATTGTTAGTTTCATCAATAAAAAATTTTTCATTTAAATATTAAAAAAATATTCTCCAATGTTAACATGTTTAATTTTTAAAATAACAATTATTGTTACAAAAAATAATATTTTGAAACTAAAAATTTTAGAATTAAATGACAAAAAAAATATTTTATAAAATTAAAAAATTAAACTAAAATTTTATATAAAGTTAGATGATGAAATGTACACTTTAATCTATATTTAATATTCTATGAGACTAAATATATACAAGCACATAAATATACACACAGACATGTTATGATATTTATAGATTTTTATTATATATACACTAAGACATCAAAGTTTATATTATTTAATCTTTTTTAGCATATCAAATTTTATAGACCAAAAATTACACATCATATCAAACAGGGCGTGAGTTGACTCTCCTATTAGTTGACTTATGCTCTATAAGTCGTTGGCCTTTAATTTCTTTCCTTCTACAACCTTTCATTTCTCATCTTTGCTCGTGGGAGCTCTCATGATGTCTATCAGAAGCTCTCTCTTTACAGATACTGCAGATTTGGCTTGAGTTGCTTCTTTCTGGATTTTCTTTGCATACAAACGGTTCAATTATTGCATGTGGTTTTGAGGTAGAAACCTTCTTTATATTCTTATATTTCTATCCGTCATAATATAGATTGTGATCTTACATATTCCTTCATATCACTGTTAAGTTTTGATTTTTTATTTTGCTATCTGTTGGTATTTTTTCTATAACTTTTAATTTTAATTTGCAGTATATATTTTGTTGCCGTTTGATATATATGCCTATCGAGACGAAGGTTATGCAGAAGCGTTTGTTGGATCAGAATTTTATTCCTTTCTGAGACAATTATTCTATTATAAGGATGAGCGAAACATGGAAAATTATTACCTTGCAGTGATTGAAGCTTAATTCCTGTACGTTCTTCAGTCTTTAAATCCTTGTGCACCTCGTTGAAAAGAAACCAATTTTTTTTTTAGAAAATATATTTGCATGTCTTTACAATTTTTCTCAATTTTAGATTAAATACTTGTAATTTATTTTATTTTAATCAAGTCTTTATAGTTTGATCTATTACATATGTTAACTTTTGAGGTTAAAATTAATAATGAATTATTAAATTTGACAAAACAAAAATATTCTTAGAGTTTACAGAAAACTTAATTTAATACTTTTGGCCAAAATAAAAAGAAAAAGAGAAAAAATGATTTAATAAACTATTTATATTTTTCTTATTTTTCTAATGATAATTTTATATGTATAAAAATATTTAAAAGACAACCTAATTATATAAATTTTGAGTTATAAAAATTATGTTGTTAATTTTAAAGTCATATAATTGTTTAATAAAATTATAAAAGTTTTGAATTTTATTTTTTTAAAGGAAAATTTAAGGATTTTAACTCTTAGGGATTAAAAAATTTAACTGATCAAACTATAGGGGTTCAATTAAAATAAAATAAACTATAAAGACTTAATTTAAAATTGAATGAAATTATAAGAACTTACATATATGTTATCCCTCTTTTTTTTTTTTTTTTTTTTGCATAAGCTCCGATATTCCAAGTTTTTGATTCAAACTAATACTCCTGACAACGTGAAGGCAACTATTTGGAGGGTGTGTCTCCTTACTAGACTTCTAATTAAGTTGGATTAACCTTATTACCAGTTGATGATCTATATTTATATTTATAGCTTTTTTAAAGATGATTCTTCTTATTTCTCATGAGATATGTTAACTCTATTCTTTTGTATATTTTAAAGCTTTAAGAGTTCAATATCACATCTGATTCTATGAATCACTTGTGAAGGAGAAATGGAAGACCATTATGCTTGGTTTTTTAAAAACATACTTCCTACTATAATGTAAAGCATTTTATAAAAGTTCTGTTTGGTTCAAATAAAATATAGGGTATTAAGTAGTTTTTATAATTATTTTTTAATTATATTTATCCCCACTTCATTTATTGTTTTTTTTTGAAATGATGCATTACAATTTCGATAGTCATTAATGCATGTATAAGATATTTAATAGGAATATAATTGAAAAGATATAAATTTTTCAAGAGATTAAAGTTTTACTTAAGTTTTAATTATTTTTAAGAACCATAAAATAATTACTAATCCTATATTGTAATTCAAAGAGAGTAATTCTTAATTGATTTTGATGAAAAGTAAATAAGTTTTAGATTTAGAGTGATGATGATGATGATGAGAAAGAGGAGGAGACTAAAATTTGACTAAAGGTGTTTTCTTATTTCTTAATTATCGGATCAATCAAAAGATAGAGAGAAATTTAAAAAAAGAAAAAGATGAGAGTGGGATATAATTATAAAAGGTATGGACAATAACGAATTGATATTTTCCTAAAATAAAAGGATCTGTTGGTTTTCGTTTTTATTTTTTATCTTTAAAAATTATTTTTTAATATGGTTTTTAAAATTATTTTTTAAAATAAAAAAAATCTATCTGGTTGTATTAATTTAAAAATAATTTTAGAATTAAGAAAATTGATCAATAGTGATTATCATCGGCGGTTAATGTTGGTGGCTTATAATAATCATTGGTCAAGGTCACTGTAATTTCTAACAATCAAATATAATATATTTTGAAAATAAGACAAATAAAATAAATACAGCTTTAAGATATTTTTATTTTTAAAAATAAAAAATGAAAACAGTTTTAAAAACAATTAAATTAAAAATACTTATCCAAACAAGTTTTTAAATTTTTTATTTTTTAAATTAAACAATTATTTTTAAAAATAGAATCCAAAAGGGCCCTTCAATATTGACTTTTGTTTTTTTTTTTTCCATCACTGCTTTGTAAGTTAAATTTCACTAAACAAAAAGTAAAAATACATAGTTTAGGAATTTCATTTTGTAATGTATGTTTCATTGCCTCATGGTTCCTTAAGTTCCTTCTTTGCTTTTGCAGTTGGTGAGCCAAAAACAGAGACTTCCCTATGAAACTCAAGGCATTATAAAACAGAGTTGAATTCTCCAGCCAAAAAGGTCAGTATTTATTTTTCAGTATTTTTTGTTTCTTTTTTTAGCCCTAATGTCAATTTTTGCTATGAATGTACGATTGCATGTGTACACGTGTGTGGTTTTTTGGGAAAATTACACATAAGTATCATACAGCACTGGCAAAAGGGCCAAAAAAACCAAAAAGAAAAAAAAAAGAAAAAGACAACTACAAGCCCAACAAAGTACAAATAAATTGTCAACAAAAATAGTTACAACTACAAACACCATAACCCAAATATAACAACATGCAAGATATAATTATCAACATCATCGTATTAAAAAGTAAAACATGATTCACATATATAATTAATTGTACTAAAAACAATGCTTTCATATTAAATTTTTCATATACCTCGACACATGTCTCACATAATAAGTTAGGCTTTCTTATTTATAAACTCTAAAAAAATTCACAACAAAGTAAGATTTTTTTTTTTTAAATCAAATCAAATCCAATTCATATAAAATTTAGTATATTTGTTCATTTAAATATGCTGATCAAAATATGTTGTTTTCAATTATAAAAAGTTTTGGATAAATTAAGGTCTACAATTTGAATAATGCAAATTTCTCAAAAATACACTTGAAATTCGATAAAAGAAGAAGAAGTCAAAAACATCAATTTAAACTATATATTCTTCTCCCCGTAATTTTTTATTTTTTTTTACGTTACTCATAAGCTTCATTGACATTTCCAAGCCAAGAAGATATCATGCCATATAAATTTTTGAAATTCCACCATTGAAATTTATATGATAGGTTTAAACCAGGCTCATTCAACTCCCTTAACTTTCCTAAACCCAGGAGGGAAAAAAAAAAAAAAAAAAAAATCTAACTTCAGCCAAGTGCCTGCAGCCATCAATTTACCAGAAAATTAAATCAAGCAGAATATGGATCCTATACTTCAATCTATACTTTATAGATGAGAAACTCACTTTGGACAAATGAGCAAATCAAGCAATAGGAGGGAGGGGAAATGAGAAACTCAAGTGGGATTCTGCTATGGAAGACGCGAGGGTTCTGCAATTGAAACTCAAGTGGGATTCTGTGATGGAAGACGCTAGGGTTCTGCAATTGTTGTGCGTCGCCGTCGTGAGAAGGGATCCTTGTCGCCGAGAACGACACTAACGCTGTCGGGATTAGAGGTGAGGAAGATGGGATTAGTGCGTCGCGTGAGGATGAAGAGATTTGGGGATCTGGTATTGGCTTAGCAACAGTCCAGGGAAGATGTTTTTAAAAAGAAAATGACAATTAAAGACTTTAAATCATTAATTATAATTAAGAAATCCTGAATTATTAATATTTTAATGATAAATCATTATGCTTACTTGAAATGAAAAACATAAATAAGTTTATAAAATTATTTATAAATACTGAAATTAATATTTTGAATTTGGATTATTGTTAATTGTAATTGAAAATATTAAGATTCACAGTTGAGAATGAAATTAACAATAATCCTAGTTCAAAATAATAATATGAGTTGTCTCAACTTATAACATTTAAGATCTTAATTTTTCAATAGAGATTAATAATAGTTCAAACTCATGATAATAATTTTAGTAGTATCTTTATTTAATTTTTTAAATGATTTACCCATTTATTAACAAGCATAAAAATTTACAAGTGATTGGCTTCGTATTTAAAAGTTGCTTTGATAAATTTTCAAATGACTATCGTTTAATCATAAGTGACTTTCAAAAGTTTCTCAAATGAATTTTAGTTTCATATTGAAAAATAATTTATTCCTAAGTGTGGATCATAGCTTTCTTAATTAAGATTAATAATAGTTCCAACCATCATAAAATTTTAATAGTGTCTTTATTTTATTTTTCAAGTGAGGGTAATTTATTAAACTTATATATATTTTTAATTTCAAGTATGGATCATAGTCCTTTATTGAAATTTCAATAATTCAGGGTCTCTCATCGTAACTAATGATCTTTTAAAGTCCTTAATTGTCATTTTCTCTTTTTTAAAACTTCTATTTGATGGTTCATGTTAAAAAACTTCAAATAAGTTAAAAGAAATTCCCATCCATAATGTATCTAATAAAAACATGACATTTAAATGGTATTAAATATAATTTGATTCTAACATTAATAATAATAGAAAGAGAAAATGCAAGAAATTAAATAGACATTTTATTATAAAGATAAAATTATAAAAAATAATGACATATAAGATTTTATTTGATGGATTATGGATGACATGGTGTATCCAGCCTATCCAAGAATTTCTCACTAAGTCAATGATGAGTTTGGATTAATGAAAATTTAAATTTAGATTAAATCTCTTATTTTGATACACAGAAATTTATTGATTTAAATCCAACTATTTTTTATTATATTTTCTTTGTAATTTTAAATTCTTTATATACTCATGCTTTTACTGTTGATGGATTTATAACTCTCATATCTTTTCTTATTTCCTTTACTTATTGTAAGGTCACTTTTACTAATCCATAATTTACTCTACAATTAAGGTAATCACGAGATTAATCTAAATGGATTACTAAAATTGTAAAATTTACATAAATAAGATCCTAAGTTTTTAAAATTTATAATGCTATAAAATCATTTAAAAAACTAAAATCAGAGAAAAACATGTATACAAAAGCATAGACATCATATAATGTAAGATAACATCAAATTAGGGTTAAAGGAGCAAAAACAATGATTTTGGCGCAATACACTGCATTATAAAATTTTATGCTACAGCATAAAATGCAGAACCCACACGACAGATTTTCTAGCCGAACTTTTGATATGTCCCAAATCTTCATCCCATGTCCAATTGAGGTGATCTAAGTGTCCATAGAAAGTTCATTCAGTAAACTAACTAATGGCATTGGTTTTATTTTCAAATTTTATCATATAAGAAAATTGGATACTTAATCAAAACTATTACTTTCTCACATTTTTCAACTTCCAAAATGTCCAAAACCTAACTCAGGTGCCATTAGTCCACATAACCACCTATACCATACTTAAGAGGCTTTAAAATGACTTGTGCAACACACCACAATACACATATATACCACATATTATTTTTACTTCTCAATCCCAAATTCATCAAAAGCAAAGAAGGAGGTTATCATCATTTAAATTATCCAAATACACATTTACAATCCTTAAAATAGCCTTAAACATACTTGCACTGCATTTTGGCCTTGAAGAAGCATGTTTAACTCATACAAACTGACGAAGGGCAACAAAATACTAACAAGCGATCACATATGAATGCAATGGTGCAACTAGTCAACATAATTATCCTAATTGACAATATCATGATAATTACACATTAATCAAAAGTATTTGAGGCATTGCAGTAGGAAATCCAATTTCTAAACCTCATATGACTTTCCCTTATCCCAATCAGAGCTAGTGCCAATAAAATATTAAATAAAGGGGTGAGTACAACTACTCAATAATCAAGATTAATTTAACATATACAAATGCATGTTAATTAATTATAGTGATGCAAATGACATATTCAAATGAAACATATCACATATTAAACCACCCAAATGATATAATTATGAAACTAACAATTATATAACATTAGATTACTTAGCATACAAGGGTCACAATAATAGCAACCATGTGCCTTTCGTAAGACATACAAGACTACAAAAATAACAATTATGTGGTCATATAATGATATGTATCAAAAACACATATGGGGTCACAATACTGATAACTAAATGGCTGGGATATGATATGTATGATTAATCTAACCTTATACTCTCCTAATACCTCCATTATAAAACTGGTGACTATTTAGTGAATTATGTCCATGAATTGGCCTTCCCAAGCCTTTTTTCATGAGGAGCTACCCGACCAAGGCTATTATACTCACTTGTGCAAGATGATTTTCCCAAACACTAATAACCATTAGGTGTCGTACCTTTAATCTAGCCTCCTCATGAATTGGTGGAGACTAATTAGGTTTGAGTTTTTTGAAGAACAAGTGGGACAAGTCCTCTACAACAATGGGACAATGACTACCTCCCGATTCTAATGACAGGTAGCCTGACTTGCTTTCAATTCCAATGATAGGTAACCAATACCACGTGGATTTACAACATCTACTCTCCTCCTTATAGGCAAACTCCTGCTTAATGATCATGTAAATGAAACATGCTTATTTTAACATAAACTTTCTTATTGAATGCATTGCACGTGATTTCTTGATGATTGAACTCCACTAACCACTTTGTTCACCTTTAGTTATTATTCCTATCACATATTCCATCTCATTTGTATCACATTATCATTACATCATAAGTATTGGCATGTTCTCATGTTTATGCTCAAACATAACATTTATCCACACATCACATACATATTCATATAGAAAAATATTCTTACACATGTCATTACATCAATCTCAACATATCATATAAACTTACTTACATTGTCACAATTTGCATTAATATCCATTTACAAACATTATTTGGTTTTCAAACAATTCATTTAAACATATAATCAAGTTTATAATGCATAAACTAAAATTTCCTCAATTACCTCAAACTTTTGAGAGGTCAAAGATTTACCCCTCATTACCACTTGCTTCTGAGCTAAACCCAAGCTTTTTGGTGCTTCATGAGATTAGTCTACAATTAACTTTAACATCTATCATTAATAATAATAAAAATCACCACTTCCAAAATATAATTTCATACTTTAATAACTAAATTTCTCATACAAGATCAACCTTACATCCAATGAGTTCCTTAACTCCCATTAACTTCATTTAACTTACAACAATTTAAATAATTGCTAATATATCATCTAATAGCCCAAAGTCATCATCAATGGCACAAATTACTCACTTCCAACTATGAAATTTAAATACTTTAATCACTAAAAACTCTCAACTCTTGAGTTTAATCACCACATTATGTTTATTAACTCCAATTGGCTCCAACTAACACTAACAAAATCCTTAATCAACATCAATGGTAGCTACCTACTTCAACC